GGTGTGTGACCAGGCCCCACACCTACGTGCAGGAGAACGCGGGGCTTCTTGCTGCCACCAACCCCACTGTGTGGTTCCTCTGTTGCCGGATGGGCTTCTGGGGGGACTCTTCTCGGCTGGAGGGGTGTTGCCTGGTGTGTTCTGCCCAGCCCTGGTCCCGACGCGTGGGGGAGGGCATCTGGGGAGTGGGCCGCGCCCTCTCTGAGGGAGTGCCTACCGTCCAGGGCGCTGTGTGGGGAGCAAACACTGACACTGATGAGTCTGACCTCCAGCAGCTCCTGGGCAGGCCAGCTAGGCCAGTGGTCGGCAAACTCATTAGTCAACAGAGCCAAATATCAACAGTACAACGATTGAAATTTCTTTTGAGAGCCAAATTTTTTAAAGTTAAACTATATAGGTAGGTACATTGTTATTAACTTAATTAGGGTTCTCCTAAGGCTTAGGAAGAGCCACACTCAAGGGGCCAAAGAGCCGCATGTGGCTTGGGAGCCGCAGTTTGCCGACCACGGAGCTAGGCGGTTCCCAGGTGCTCTCTCTCCCTTTCACCAGTTCTGGTAACAGACGCTGCATTCTGCAGGGGACGTCCAGCCACATGCCTCCCTTTCTGTCTCTACTCTGAGGAAATGACCCCCAGGCTCCCAAATGGACAGAAGAACATTCTCTCTGTCCCGACTGGAGAATTGAGACTCATTGTTTTGACATAACTGACAAGCCATTATTTTGTCCCAAGTATGCAGATTCATTCATTAACAATTCATTAACAGTTCATTAACTCAAGAGCTACTTTGCCAGAGGTTTGAACATACAATGAGGTTTTTTTTTAAAAAAATTCTCACTCAAGGATATGTTTTTTAAATTGATTTTTAGAGAGAGAGAGAGAGAGGAGGGAGGTTGAACCTACAACCTAGGTATGTGCCCTGACTGGGAATCGAACCCGCAGTCTTTTGGTGTAGAGGCTGACGCTCCAACCAACCGAGCCACCTGGCCAGGGTGTGCCCAGTGAGTTTGAATGCATGTGAAATGCTCGTCCCAGTGGGCCAACCCAGGGGCACGTCTGATTTTGAATCTGATAGTGGACTCATTACACGACTTCGTCTTGTCAGTTCCAATCTGAGCTGTAGCTGTAAAAGTAAAACCAGAAGTAGAACCGGCTTTCATGCCACAACTAGTTTTTAAGTAAAATAAACAAAGTAGAAAACACTCTTTGGCTTTCCAGCATTCCAGTGTGATTTGAACGGTTCCTGTCTTACACCAACACGATTCTTGAGCAATTACTTATCTGAGTTGATACTCCTAAGTGGATGGTAGCATTTTAAGAATTTTGATGACCGATGAGTCTTGAGGTGGCTTCAGGGCGGGTGGGAGCAGAGCAGGGTGGTGGTTAGTGGTTTCTGCCCTGGCTTCTGGTCAACCTGACCTAGTCGCCTTCAAGGATCTGGCTGATGGTGGCTCCGTGGTCCTAAAGCAAATGAGGCTTGAATGTTAAACCGGAGAGAGGGTTAATTACTGGCAGATCCCTGACAACGACACATTTTCTTCCTTTTCAGCTACACTTGGGAAGCTGTTGATACCAAAAATCAGATGCTTTACAAGATCAGCGTCTGCGGGAGCGTGGCCATTGCCGCGTGCGGGGCTTCGAGCGCCGTCTGCGTGCAGGACCTGAAGACGGGCCGCTACCGCTCCGTGGGTGAGTGAACTGGCCTGGCGCCACGGGGGGCACCTCCCGGCGTGGCCAGGAAAACTCGGTGACTGTACAGCTGCCTACACAGTTACACGTCCAGTTATAATGGACATTTTGTGTTTGATCATAGTTAAAAGGGATAACAGTTTAAATGTCCACTATGAGACCAAATTAGATGTCTTCCATTCAGTGCAGCGATTTTCAACCGGTGAGCCGCAAGAATGTTGAAAATACGCAATACCTGGCTCTCTCGTCGGGGGCACTGACCTCTCCTTCCTTAGGTTGGCATATAAAAAATGACAGTAGCCACCACAAGCTATGGTTGGGAACGAATCAAAATTATACCCATTTTTTTGGTCAGATTGGCAAAAAAAGGTATTTTTTGGTGTGCCGCCGAATTTTAGTAATTCTAAAATGTGTGCCATGAGATGAGAAAGGTTGAAAATCGCTGATCTGGTGGATCCTATGTAGTTAATCGTTATGAAGAATTATGCACATTTGTACTTATTGACCTAGAAGGATATTTCCCACTGGGCTCTCCCTTCTCACGCTTTTCTCAAACTCTCTCTTCACTCTCCTCC